CAGTCAGGAGCGACTTGAGAAACTGCAAGTCGCTCCTGACATGGAAAATATTATTATTATTATTATTATTATTATTATTATTATTATTATTATTATTATTGACTATATTTATATACCGCCCCTCTCAGCCCGCTGGACAGGAAGTGACAGCATGGAATTGGAAAAATGGAAAAAAATGTGACTATGGAAAAGTGGAATAGTTACCTTTATGATCAAGGACAATCTAACTCAAGATACTATGCGAGAAATCAAAGATAAATGGATAGTTTATACGGAATGGGTAAAAAGTGGTGAATCCAATTAGACTATTATTATTCTTATGATGTTGATTGATACCCCGCTTCTTCTCTCCACGAGGAGACTCAAAGCGGCTGACATTAAAAGCATTTCTGTGCAACTTAAGATCTACAAATATATAAACACTAAAACAGAATCAGATATCATGGGCACTAAAAAATTGGTCAAAAACAATAAATACATATTGCACAGGAATTTTAAAAAAACGTGTTAATGTGCAAAGATAGAGAAGATGCATGTGGCCTGGGTGATGGGTAGAGTGGATAGAAGTTTTGAATAATTAGAAATTCATAAAATTTAGAAGGAGTCCTTGAGCAACATAAATAGCTAACGGCTTCAGTAGCTCCTTGCTGGGAGCAACGTCTTGGATAGAGCTTCGGCCGGTACCTTTGTTGCCAGACTTTTGACTCCATGTTTGGATCTCGACTTGGACTGTTTATTTATTTATTTACTACATTTATATACTGTTTTTCTCCCCCTGAGGGAACTCAAAGCGGTTTCCAACATAATAAAAGCAAAAATGCAATGCCGTACATAAATGTGAAAACCAAAACATAATAGCTGGACAATAACATATGTTACAGTAAGTCGTAAAAGGACTTACTGTATGTGTGTGTGTGTGTGTGTTAAAGGAAACCTTATACTGTTGACTATTGTGTGCATCTGGATGTAGGTGTAAGACTGTAGGTTTTATATAGCAATATTAAATGATCACTCACAAGCCGGTTTTGCTTGGAAATGAATATATTGCTTGTATCTCTGCAGCAAAGAAAGACACTACTGCCTTTTCCCCACCACCACTTCCTTTTATACACCTTTCCTGCCCATCTCCCCCTCTTCTCAGTTTCCTTATTAGACATGTTGCTTCACAAGTTCCAATACAAGGCTTCCAGCGCCCTTTGCTGGCTTCAAAATGTCACAGAGAGAGAACTGATTCAGCCAGGATGATTCAGTCAGGATGTCACAGAGGGAATTTGTGATGCCTTCATATCGTCAGAAATTGACTCCTGACAGTAGGTCAACTAGTAAGTTTGGACCACACCCGGTGGGGTATAACTGTATAGTTTTTAGAATACGGTTTGGCTTTTGCTCTGAAGAGCCTTTGCTCAGGCATTTTCCTCAAGTATTTCTACTGCTCTCTCACTTGGATAAAGATGAAGAAGCCTTATTCTGTATTGCTTACAAAGACTACGTAAATTTGTTACACTGTTTGTAGCATTGCAAGCTTATGTTTTAACTGATAAGAGTAAAGTTTTTCTGTCCTTTTCCCTCTTGTTAATGTGTCTTCTGTACTGGACTTGACTGAAATACGCTTAGCGCAACAACATACAACTATAAATTAAAAATCTAACCATATTAAAACATAAAATAACATTTAGACATAAGATATAAACATCAAACATCAATAATATAATAACATTTATATTAAAACCCACTCGTAAACAACAGTTAAAAACAGTTATAAGACATTGGAAAGCTTCCGTGCTATTGACCCTCTGAAACAGACTCTTGACTATCCTCTGTCTAGATTACTTGTTATGCATAATCCTAGGCTGTTTCTGACTATGAGTTTAGTGTCATATGTTCTGCAGTTGATGGTGGGTGGTGATGGAAGGGTTAATGTAAGTATTAGTTCTAAAGGGTTTAGTAATCTGTAAGTAAGAGTTCATGGGTGAAAGCAATTAAGGGTGGAGGTATGCAAGAGATGGGTTGCAGCTGGGTGTTACTGGATTTAAGGAGCTAATCTTGGGACTCATCTTCGGGAGAAAAGTATCTATTGTCATATTTTGGTGGTGGATGCTGTTGGTTTCCCCCCCAGATCTGTTGGATTTTCGGTATCCTGACCTGTCTCCTTTAATCTTGGAACCCTGGAACCTTGAACCTTTGGATTGGCTTTTGACTTCAGTATAGACTCTTGATCCCTGGACTTTGTTTATTGGACTCTCAGCATTTGACCACTGGACTGGACCCTTTGACTATGGTGTAGCTTTTGCTATCAGTTTTTGTTTATTCCGTGACTGAGTGCTATATTTATGTTTTACATTTTGATTTATTAAAACAGACAGTTTTAATTAAACTGTTTGATAAAACTGGGAGTTTGGTTCATCTCTACCTAAATAAGGCAGAGCCGTGGCAACGTTACATTTAGAGAGAGTGCCAATGGGTTGGTTTGGACAGCCCACTACCTCCCTTGCCTTACCTTGACCTGCTGGGGCTGGGCCTTCAGGCTGGCGATGGTCTCCTGGCTGTTGCGCAGCCGCCGGCTGAGCCGCTCCTCCTCCTGGGCCTTCTCGGCCAGGGAGTCCTTCAGGCGCAGCTCCACCTCCGCCAGGCGGTTGGTCTTCTGCTCCACCTCCAGGTCCAGCTCCGAGAGGCGACCCTTCAGCTCCTCCGCATCCCGCGTCAGCTGTGCCAGCCTCTCTTGCAGCTTCGCGTTCTCCTGCCGGGAAGAGAAATGGAAAGCAGTCATGAGATCCTGGACCTCAAGGAGGAGGACACAATCCAAGCCTTCTCGACAAGAAAGCCATCGAGTCCTTGTTCAATGACCACCACCCGAGAAGGAGACAGCGCCAGATTCCCAGGAAGCACCTTGTAATGATCATTGTGCACAGCAGCCATATTGGGTGACTGAGGCATCCAATGTAAACAAAGGAAGTTGAATTGAGTTCAGTCTTCTACAGAACATCGACAGGAAGCTCTACTACTCTTTTGTTCCATTCTTTTGTCTATGCGGGGCACGGGACAGAGACTGTGTTGGTCTCCATCACGGATCACCTTCGATGCCAGCTTGACCAGGGCGGGTCAGCACTGCTTGTGTTATTGGATCTCACAGCAGCATTGGACACAGTCGACCACCATCTTCTGACCCTCCACCTTGCTGTTGCTGGAGTGAGTCAGGGGGAGAGCTTTAAACTGTCTCCCCTCCTTTCTTCTCAACCGTGGACAGCGAGTGGAGAGGGGAGGCCTGGTCTCTGAGAGGTCCCCCCTCTCTTGTGGGGTTCCTCAGGGGGCCATTCTCTCCCCTCTGTTGTTTAACATCTATATGCGACCACTTGCTCAGCTGGTTCGAGGTTTTGGGCTTGAGTGTTACCAGTACACTGATGACACTCAGCTGGTGCTGAAGATGGAAGGCCGACCGGACTCTGTACCCAATTGTTTCCATCAGTGCCTCGAGGCCGTTACTGGATGGTTGCGTGCCAGCAGGTTGAGGGTGAATCCCTATGGCTGGGTCAACTGGGCAGTGGGGACATCCAGCTGCCTACCCTGGATGGCGAGGCGCTACGCCCGTCACCATTGGTCAAGAGTCTGGGAGTCCTTTTGGACCCTCTGCTGAGGATGGAGGCCCAGGTCTCTCTCCGCCGTGAGCAGAACCGCCTTCTTTCTTTCACCTGCGGCAGGCTAGATGGCTGGCCCCCTCCCTGTCCAGGGACGACCTGGCTACGGTGATCCAGGCCACGGTCATCTCCAGACTGGACTGCTGTAACACCCTCTACATTGGCCTTCCTCTGTCGGTGACCCAGAAGGTCAAGTTGGTACAAAACGCAGCTGCTCGGCTTCTTGCGGGAATCCCGATGAGATGCCACATCACCCCAATCTTACTACAGCTGCATTGGTTACCGGATCACTTTCAAAGGGATGGGACTCACCTTGAAGGCCTTGCATGGTCTGGGGCCGATGTACCTGAGGGACCGCCTCTCCCCCTCCCAACCCCAGAGATCCCTCCGTTCTGAGGACCAAGATCTATTGGAAGTCCCCAGTGTCAAGACCTTGCGTCTAACAGCAACCAGGCGCAGAGCCTTCACAGCAGTGGCACCATCACTCTGGAACACTCTGCCACCTGAAGTCTGTGCCTTGCGGGACTTACCAGCTTTCCGCACGGCATGGAAGACATACCTGTTTCGACAGGCTTTTAATGTTTGATACTACTGTTTTTAAATCGTTTTAAATCGCTTTTAGATTTTAGCCATTCTTGTAAGCCGCTCCAAGCCCCAGCGGAGTGGTGGCAGAGAAGTTCAAATAATAAATATATATATATATATATATATATATATTTCTCCACTGAGCCTGTCACCCTTCAACTTGCCACTTGCCAAGTGTGGAGATGCTATCCATTATGTATTCATTCTTAAATTACCTGAAATCTCCTGCATTACTTTCTCCCTGTGGCAATGGTCCTGCTGGTCATCATTCTGTTGCTCTTGACATCATCACTCTCAAACCTTCACTACCAAGCTTTCCGGTTGGCTGCCAATTTGGCCCAGGAGGAGAATTTCAGGCCCCAAGGCCTTCGACCTCCCGGCGGTCATTTCCGACCCTGACTCTGGACCTTGCAAGGTTGGCCTTGATGGAAAACACACCCCATGGTCAGTGACCTCCCCCCGGCAGAGGCGGGCTCCCCTCACCTGGCCGTGTTCACACCCCGCGCATTTCGGGGACTGCTTCCGGAGCTCCTGCAGCTGCGCCTCGCACATCTTCACCTCCTGCTTCAGGCGCAGGTTCTCTGCCGCCAGGAGGTCCCGGTGCTTCTCCAGGTCTGTGCCGCCCTGGGAACAGAGAGGGCAACAAAGAGGTGGCGGTTAGAAGTGCATGGACAGTTCAGAGGTGTGGGGACTGCAGCTCTCAGAAGCCCCTACTGCCAAGGATTCTGGGAAATGGAGTCCAAAACACCTGGAAGGCCACAAGTGTAATGCCACTGGAATAGCTGGCATCTCTAGCCAAGTGTGGCATAGCCAGTGCTTGCTCTCCCCCCCCCCCCCATATAATATATAATATATTGTATTTACATTTTACTTATACGCCGCTTTGAGTCCCCTTCAGGGTGAGAATGGCGGCGTATAAATGTCGTAAATAAATAAATAGATGTGTGTGTATATATAGAGAGCGAGATATGGCAAGTTCTTTAACTTCTGGAAGCTGAAAGGCAAAAGTAAGGATACAACAATGTCTGCTATAGAACAATATATTATTATTTATTTATTTATTTATTTATTTATTTACTTTACTTGTATACCGCAGTTTCTCAGCCTAACCGGCGACTCAACGCGGTTTACAACAAGGGTAAAATCAATCACAATATACAATTTAAAACACAAACGCACAATATACAGTATTACACAACAATAACAACACAATGCTTCTCATCACTAAAATCATGATCCAAATTCGTCGTCCATATTTCCATTCCTGTAATCGTCACATTGCACTGATTAACCAAATGCCTGTTCGAACATCCAAGTTTTTAATCTTCTTCGGAACACCATTAGCGAGGGGGCTGATCTTACCTCCATGGGAAGGGCGTTCCACAGCCAAGGGGCCACCACAGAAAAGGCCCTGTCTCTCGTCCCCGCCAGCCGCACTTGTGAAGCAGGCGGGATAGAGAGCAGGGCCTCCCCAGAAGATCTCAGGGTCCTGGCGGGCTGATAGACAGAGATACGTTCGGATAGGTAACTTGGGCCAGAACCGTTTAGGGCAGTGGTTCTCAACCTCTAATGCTATGACCCCTTATACAGTTCCTCATGTTGTGGTGACCCCCAACCATAAAATTATTTTTGTTGCTACTTCATAACTGTAATTTTGCTATTGTTATGAATTGTAATGTAAATATCTGATATGTAGGATGTATTTTCATTCACTAGACCAAACTTGACACAAATATCCGATATGCCCAAATTTGAATACTGGTGGTGTGGGTTGATTTTTGTCATTTGAGAGTTGTAGTTGCTGGGATTTATAGTTCACCTACTATCAAAGAGCATTTTGAACTCCACCAATGATGGAATTGAACCACATTTGGCACAAAGAACTCCCATGAGCAACAGAAAATACTGGAAGGGTTTGGTGGGCATTGACCTTGAGTTTTGGAGTTGTAGTTCACCTCCATCCAGAGAGCACTGTGGACTCAAACAATGATTGATCTGGACCAAACTTGGCATGGATACTCAATATGCCCAAATGTGAACACTGGTTGAGTTTGGGGAAAAATAGACCTTGACATTTGGGAGTTGGTCGTTGCTGGGATTTATAGTTCACTTATAATGAAAGAGCATTCTGAATCCCGTCAACGATAGAATTCGGCCAAACTTCCCACATAGAACCCCCATGACCAACAGAAAATATTGGGGTTTTTGATGGTCTTTGGTGACCCCTCTGATACCCCCTCACGACCCCCTCAGGGGTCCCGACCCCCAGGTTGAGAAACACGTTTAGGGCTTTAAAGGCCAGCGCCAGCACTTTGAATTGAGCCCGGTAGCAGATCGGCAGCCATGTTGACGATATCGTAGTCTGTGCTCATTCAGAGGAAGGCTTCAAATGGACTTGAGGCCTAAGACACTGCTCTAGCAGAGCAAAGTAATAGGCACCTTTCAGCAAAAACAATACAACAAATGATTCCAACTGCAGACGGGATGTTGCCCTGCTAGATGTTGCAGCACTAGAACTCCCATCATTCCCAAGCTAGCCAGTTAGGTCCCAAATGGTCATTTTGATATGACGTGTGTGTGTGTGTGTGTGTGTGTACATCATGATGATGATGCCACCCGCCCTCTGTAAAAATTGCCATTGTTATAAGATTGGATTGGATCCTTTGATCTGCCCAGACTTGACACACAAGGTGCCTTACGCTTGCATCTTTTAATCAGCTGCAAGGGCTCCTAAAACTGTAATTTGCTGAATAATAGTCCCCTCCTTTCATATCTTGATGTCATATGCATGTTTATAATATCCTCTTGATTGGGCCTAATTGAAAAAGCCAATGCCCTATTTAAACGAACCGACACGCTGTCTCTATTTAGGCGCGCACACTGGAGCAGCAAGAGGATTGCCGACAGGGGCGGCTCACCCATTACGCAAAGTAAGCAGTCGCGGTAGAGTTGATGTTGCCGTTGTGCAGCAACGCTCTGTGTAAGGTGGAGGAGTATCTTCTGAAGATCTCCAACACAGATCCACGACTCATAAGGGAAAAGGAATGTGTTGCCTCCCAATAAAGGAGACGAATTGATCAAGGAACGCCGGCTGTGCCAAGCCAGAGAATTAATTACTCTTTTCTAATGATCCGTTTTCCTCTGTCCTCCCTTTGGCACCGACACCCTTCTAATTGGGGCGATGGCTCTTGTGCATTATGTAAGGCCCCGCTATTGTTATACGAACGTATTGACGATACAGGCAATTGCGTTGAGGTATTATTTCCCGTACTGTCAAACCACAACATACAATGGCGTTAAGGGCACAGGACCCCCGTGAAAGTGGGGAAAATACAATTTTTGGGTGGGAAAAACACAGCTTTTTTTAACCTAAAAGAACATTTCTCCAAGTCCTCTGTCGTCATCATACACAAGAATTTGCCCCGGAGGACTTAAGACATTCTTGAGATGTGCAAAGGCCACTCTGTCCGCATGCCCGACCACCGCCTCCCAAAGCAGTTGCTCTACTCTGAACTCAAGAACGGAAAATAGAATGTTGTTGGGCAGGAAAAGAGATTGAAAGATGGGTTCAAAGCCAGCCTTAAAAACTCTGGCATTGACACCGAGAACTGGGAAGCCCTGGCCCTTGAGCGCTCCAGCTGGAGGTCAGTTGTGACCAGCAGTGCTGCAGAATTTGAAAAGGCATGGATGGAGGGTGAAAGAGAGAAACGTGCCAAGAGGAAGGTGCGTCAAGCCAACCCCGACCGGGACCGCCTTCCACCTGGAAACTAATGCCCTCACTGCGGGAGAAGATGCAGGTCAAGAATAGGGCTCCACGGCCACCTACGTTCCCACCGCCAGGACACGACACTTGGAGGACCATCATCCTCAGACTGTGAGGGATCGCCTAAGTAAGTAAGTACTTCATCAGTGTCAGAAACAGACGGTGAAGCGACAGCTCCCCTGGTGCTAATATAACTGATTTACGAGGCCATAAAAATCTCCAGCAAGCATGTAAAGAATGAGGAAGTACTTCATTAGTGTCAGAAACAGACGGTGAAGCGACAGCTCCCCTGGTGCTAATATAACTAATTTACGAGGCCGTAAAAATCTCCAGCAAGCATGTAAAGAATGAGGAAGTACTTCATCACGTCACAAATGGACGGTGAAGCAACAGCTCCCCTGGTGGCCACAAGCTGGAATGTTAAATAGCCTTTGTGTGTCTGTCTATATATGTTGTGTGTCTATGGCATTGAATGTTTGCCATGTGTATGTACATTGTAAGCCATCCCGAGTCCCCTGCGGGGTGAGAAGGGCCGAATATAAATATTGCAAATATATAAATAAAATACGCATATTTAAAATTACCCCAAATAAATACCAAAATATAGCAAATGTAAGTCATGAAGTTGGAAATTCATAGTTAAAACTGACGGGGCTCAAGCGCCATGAGCTTCAACCCTGACCTGCCATTTCCAAAAGCAAAATTGTGAATTGGCATGAAGAGGATTTCAAGAATTTGTCACCAGCCCAGATCCATTCAAAGGCCTTCAAAGGCAAATCAGGCGACTCACCAGCACGGAATGGAGCCGGCTCATTTCCTGCGCTTGCTCCCGGAGCTGGCCCTTCAGGCTCTCTGTCTGCCAAGACACAAAAAGAAATTGAAATAGGACCACTATATATATTACTAATAATATATAATATAAAATAACAATTTGCGTCAATACCCAAAACAGCCACTAAGTGGCATGCAGGAAACATTTCCTGCTCCTGGTTTTATTTCGGGACCCCATTTGGGGTCAGGATCCAAAGTTTGAGAAGCAGAGCCTTAACAAAAAAAAAGTACACAACTAAAAACAGATAAATAAACTAATAAGACTATTTGTGTCAATGCCTATAACAGCCACTAGGTGGCATTCAGAAAAAAACCACAGCTGTGGGTTTTATTTCGGTTCCCCTTTTGGGGTCGGGACCCCAGTTTAAGAGGCAGAGCCTTAAAGAAAAAATTATACAACTACAAACAGATAAATAAACTAATAAGACTATTTGTGTCAATGCCTTAAACAGCCACTAGGTGGCATTCAGGAAACGTTTCCTGCGGCAAAAGGTGCACAACGGCAAATATATAAATAAACTGATAAAGACAATTTGCGTCAATACCGAAAACAGCCGCTAGGTGGCATTAAGTAAACATTTCCTGCTCCTGGTTTTATTTCAGGACCCCATTTGAGGTCAGGATCCAAAGTTTGAGAAGCAGAGCCTTAACAAAAAAAAAGTACACAACTAAAAACAGATAAATAAACTAATAAGACTATTTGTGTCAATGCCTAAAACAGCCACTAGGTGGCATTCAGGAAATGTTTCCTGCTGCTGATTGTATTTTGGGACCCCATTTGAGGTCGGGACCCACAGTTTAAGAGGCAGAGCCTTAAAGAAAAAAGTGCACAACTACAAACAGATAAATAAACTAATAAGATTATTTGTGTCAATGCCTAAAACAGCCACTAGGTGGCATTCAGAAAAAAACCCACAGCTGTGGGTTTTATTTCGGTTCCCCTTTTGGGGTCGGGACCCACAGTTTAAGAGGCAGAGCCTTAAWGRAAAAATTATACAACTACAAACAGATAAATAAACTAATAAGACTATTTGTGTCAATGCCTWAAACAGCCACTAGGTGGCATTCAGGAAACGTTTCCTGCGGCAAAAGGTGCACAACGGCAAATATATAAATAAACTGATAAAGACAATTTGCGTCAATACCGAAAACAGCCACTAAGTGGCATTCAGGAAACGTTTCCTGCTCCTGGTTTTATTTCGAGACCCCATTTGGGATCAGGATTCAAAGTTTAAGAAGCAGAGCCTTAACAAAAAAAGTACACAACTAAAAACAGATAAATAAACTAATAAGGCTATTTGTGTCAATGCCTAAAACAGCCACTAGGTGGCATTCAGGAAACGTTTTCCTTTGGCAAATGTTGCACAGCTGCAAATATATAAATAAACTGATAAAGACAATTTGCGTCAATACCTAAAAAAGCCACTAAGTGGCTTTCAGGAAATGTTTCCTGCTCCTGGTTTTATTTCAGGACCCCATCTGGGGTCAGGGTCCAAAGTTTGAGAAGCAGAGCCTTAAAGAAAAGAGTGCACAACTAAAAACAGAAAAATAAACTAATGAGACTATTTGTGTCAATACCTAAAACAGTCACTAGGTGGCATTCAGGAAATGTTTCCTGCTCCTGGTTGTATTCGGGATCTCATTAATGAGACGCTGAGAATCTATATCTTATTAGTTTTATTATTTTATTTAATGTTATTTATGTTGAATGTTTTAATTGTTTTTATGTTATTGCGGGCATCGAATCGTGCCTTTTGTAAACAGCCCTGAGTCGCCCTCGGGCTGAGAATGGCGGTATATAAATATAGTAAATAAATAAATAAATAAATTTGGGGTTGGGACCCACAGCTTAAGAGGCAGTGCCTTAACAAAAAAAAGTGTACAACTAAAAAGAGATAAATAAACTAATAAGACTATTTGTGTCGATACCTAAAACAGCCACTAGGTGGCATTCAGGAAACGTTTCCTGCGGCAAAACGTGCACAGCTACAAATATATAAATAAACTGATAAAGATAATTTGTGTCAGTTGAGATTAACTTCACAATTCAGCAGCAGATCAGTTGCACAACTTCAGCGCTTTCCAGTAGCTTCTTCCTGCACAGTATTTTCAGTCAACTGCTCCCACAGCCTGCAGCCACGCTGGAACCTTTTACAGACACTTGAGCACATGCCCGGCCATTGTCAGTTTTACCACTGACTTTCCCCCAGTCTAGATGATATTGCAGACTTACCACAGCACACAGTTATATCTTGTCTTAGCAGACAGGTTCTTTTAATTACATATAGCCTTCGAAGAACAACATCACAGCACAAGGAGAAATATACACTGTACATGACTTCCTTATATACAATTCTTTTACACATAGCAATCACCGATTAGTTCCCAACTCATTCACTTAACTCAAACCCAGGATTACATCATTCACAATCACCTGGACTAGGCCAGAACACATTCCCCAAATGAAGTTCTATATACAGTCAGAATTTCCAATAGAAGCCCATTAGCAATGCATGACTCAGCTATATTACATTACTATACATTGTAAAACCTGACAGTGTCAATACCTTAACAATAGGCCTGGGCAGTTTCGTTTCGTTAATTCGTAATTCGTTAATAATTCGTTAATTTTTCCAATTACAAAACGATAACGAACCATTCTGGAGCAATCATTTAAAAAAAACGAATTTTTAAACGCGTTTTGCAAATGCTTCGTATTTCGTTATTGTATTCGTTTCGTTATTGTTCTGAGGTCGTTTCGTTATTATTTCCGCATGTCTGGGCCAGTTTTATGGTTTAATTAATGAAAAAAAATTATAATATCACACCAACAGTCAAGAACAGAGGGAGAGGGAAGCTTCAGAAGTTTTTGGAGGTTTTTTAGCGTATTTCGCGGTCGCGCCCGCCATTAACGAATCGATTCGTTATTGTTTCGGAAATCGATTAGTTATTTTTTTACCATTTACGAAATTTCGTAAATATCGAACTTTTTAAAAGGAAAATTTTGTAATTATTTTAAATATCGAAACAAAAAAACCCCCCAAATACAAATCGATTTTAGAAACAAATTTTTGCGTTGTTACCCAGGCCTACTTAACAAGCCACTAAGTGGCATTCAGGAAACGTTTCCTGCTCCTGGTTTTATTTTGGGACCCCATTTGGGGTCGGGATCCAAAGTTTGAGATGCAGAGCCTTAACAAAAAAAGTGCACAACTAAAAACAGAAAAATAAACTAAGACTATTTGCGTCAAAACCTAAAACAGCCACTAGGTGGCATTCAGGAAACGTTTCCTGCTGCTGGTTGTATTTCGGGACCCCATTTCGGGTCAGGACCCACAATTTGAGAGGCAGAGCCTTCAAGAACAGAAGTGCGGAGCCCTACCTGCGCGGCCTGTCCGCCTTCTTCCTCTGAAAGCCTCTCCTGCAGCGCGACCAGCTCCTCCTGCAGCTGCCGCTTCTCCTCCTGAAGCTGGGAGAGCGACTCCAGCAGCCTCTGCACCACCGGGAGCTGGTGCGCCCCACACAAGCTGGACCGGCCCCCGCTGAGGACCCTCCCGGCCCCTGAAAGGGAAGGAGACAGGGCGTCAGTGGGTCAGGAAGGAGGGTCTGTGGGACGGATGGGATCGAAAGGGAGCAGCGTGGGATGGAACGCCAGCAGGACGCGCCATGGAAGGCCGTGGGAGGCAGCGCAGGCTGGGCAGCAAAGCCCCCTCCCCTCACAAACATAACCGCCAAGGCTCACTCCGGGTCACAATCCTCCTTTGAGACACACACACAATCCCAATTGGAGTCAAAGGAAGAACTACAACATGTCGAGATCAAGTCTGGGCCAACTGATACTAATATATAATAATAATAATAATAATAATAATAATAATAATAATAATAATAACAACAACAACAACACAATAATAATACAATACAATATCAGTAATAACAAAATACTAATACTAATAAAATATAAGATTCCTCTCGCTTCCTGTCGTCTCAGCCCCGTTCTTAACTAGGAGTCATTTGCAAGTCGGATGTTTGCAACTCAGGAATGGCATGTGTGTATTATAATAATATACTAATACTACTATATAATATAATAATACAACAACAGCAATAATACAATAACAATAATAATACAATATCAATAATAATAATAATAATAATACAATACAATACAATAATAACAAAATTCTAATACTAATAAAATATAAGATTCCTCTTGCTTCCCACTGTCTCAGTAACACAACAACAACAACAATACAACAACAACAACAATAATAATACAATAACAATAGTAATAATACAATATAATAATAACAAAATACTAATACTAATAAAATATAAGATTCCTCTCGCTTCCTGTGGTCTCAGCCCCGTTCTTAACTAGGAGTCACAACAATAATAATACAATAACAATAGTAATAATACAATATAATAATAACAAAATACTAATACTAATAAAATATAAGATTCCTCTCGCTTCCCACTGTCTCAGTAACACAACAACAACAACAATACAACAACAACAACAATAATAATACAATAACAATAGTAATAATACAATATAATAATAACAAAATACTAATACTAATAAAATATAAGATTCCTCTCGCTTCCCACTGTCTCAGTAACACAACAACAACAACAATACAACAACAACAACAATAATAATACAATAACAATAGCAATAATACAATATAATAATAACAAAATACTAATACTAATAAAATATAAGATTCCTCTCGCTTCCTGTGGTCTCAGCCCCGTTCTTAACTAGGAGTCATTTGCAATTTGGATGTTTGCAACTCAGGAGTGGCATGTGTGTATTATAATAATATACTAATACTACTATATAATATAATAATACAACAACAGCAATAATACAATAACAATAATAATACAATATCAATAATAATAATAATAATACAATACAATACAATACAATAATAACAAAATTCTAATACTAATAAAATATAAGATTCCTCTTGCTTCCCACTGTCTCAGTAACACAACAACAACAACAATACAACAACAACAATAATAATACAATAACAATAGTAATAATACAATATAATAATAACAAAATACTAATACTAATACTAATAAAATATAAGATTCCTCTCGCTTCCTGTGGTCTCAGCCCCGTTCTTAACTAGGAGTCATTTGCAAGTCGGATGTTTGCAACTCAGGAATGGCATGTGTGTATTATAATAATATAATAATACTAATATATAATATAATAATACAACAATAATACAATAACAACAACAATAATACAATATGAATAATAATAATACAACAAAATAATAATAATACAATAATATATGTGATTTATATTATTTTGTATTGCTTTGTATTGCTGTTATTGCTTTTCTGTTGTGATGCGTTGTTGGGCTTGGCCTCATGTAAGCCACTCCGAGTCCCTTGGGGAGATGGTAACGGGGTATAAATAAAGTATTATTATTATTATTATTATTATTGTTATATAATACAACAACAATAATAAAATAACAATAATAATAATACAATATCAACAATAATAATACTACAATACAATAATAACAAAATACTAATACTAATAAAATATAAGATTCCTCTCGCTTCCTGTTGTCTCAACCCCGTTCTTAACTAGGAGTCATTTGCAAGTCGGATGTTTGCAACTCAGGAATGGCTTCTGTGTGTGTGTGTGTGTTATAATAATGTACTAATATATAACATAAATTGCATCTCTGTGTGTGTATTATAATAATATAATAATACTAATATTATTATATTACTTATTGTATTATTATATAATATAATAATACAACAACAACAATGTACAATAAGAACAATAATAATACAATATCAATAATAATAATAATAATAATAATAATAATACAATACAAAATACCAATAAAATACAAGATTCCTCTCGCTTCCTGTTGTCTCAACCCCGTTCTTAACTAGGAGCCATTTGCAAGTCGGATGTTTGCAACTCAGGAACTGCCTGTGTGTGTGTGTGTTATAATAATGTACTAATATATAACATAAATTGCATCTGTGTGTGTATTATAATAATATAATAATACTAATATTATTATATTACTTATTGTATTATTATATAATATAATAATACAACAACAACAATGTACAATAAGAACAATAATAATACAATATCAATAATAATAATAATAATAATAATAATAATACAATACAAAATACCAATAAAATACAAGATTCCTCTCGCTTCCTGTTGTCTCAACCCCGTTCTTAACTAGGAGCCATTTGCAAGTCGGATGTTTGCAACTCAGGAACTGCCTGTGTGTGTGTGTGTTATAATAATGTACTAATATATAACATAAATTGCATCTCTGTGTGTGTGTATTATAATAATATAATAATACTAATATATACCATATTATTACTCAGCCCCGTTCTTAACTATTATTATTATTATTAACTTTATTTATACCCCGCAAAACCTCCCGAAGGACTCAGTGCGGCTTACAAAGGCCAAGGCCACCAACTACAATAACATACACATACACAATAAAGTCATAAGCAAATAAAAACATCAAGCAAAGCATTAGGAACAATAAAAACAATGACACAGTGACGCATTTAAAACCAAGGGCCGGCCAAGTGTAATAGACAAAATTTAAAAGTGCTGGACTTGACAAGTGATATGTAGAGGTATTTGGAGGTAGGTGCAATGTGCAGACAATCCTGGTCTCTAACAAAGTGCATTTGGGACATGATGCCAGGAGTTTCCTATTCTGGAAAGGCACACTGGAACAGCCAGGTCTTCAGGCTTTTCCTAAAGACAGCCAACGTTGGGGCTTGTCTGATGTCCTTGGGGAGAGAGTTCCAGAGTCGGGGGGCCACCACAGAGAAGGCCCTGCCCCTCGTCCCCACCAAACGCGCCTGTGACAGGAACTAGGAGCCATTTGCAAGTCGGATGTTTGCAACTCAGGAATGGCCTCTCTGTGTGTATTACAATAATATGATAATGCTAATATACAGGGTTGGTCAAAATGAATAGGCCAATAAGAAAATTAATTTTAGACAAATGTATGTTTACTGTAACCAAACTACAGCTACGTAGCGACAGATAAACTATCAAAGTTTTGTCTCACCTTCAGAGATGTTCGATATGGGCGCCCCGTGTGACACGGCAGATGTCCAAGCGATAGTCCAGTTCATTCCACATCCGTTGCAGCACATCCGACGTAATGGCATCGAATGCAGCAACGTCTGGGAAGGTGTTCGTTGAGGTCCTAACCCTAACCCTAACCCTATCCCTATCCCTATCCCTAACCCTAACCCTAACCCTAACCCTATCCCTAACCCTAACCCTATCCCTAACCCTATCCCTAACCCTAACCCTAACCCTAACCCTAACCCTAACCCTAACCCTATCCCTAACCCTAACCCTATCCCTAACCCTACCCACCCTAACCCTAACCCTATCCCTAACCCTAACCCTATCCCTAACCCTAACCCTAACCCTAACCCTAACCCTAACCCTAACCCTAACCCTAACATCCCTATCCCTAACCCTAACCCTAACCCTAACCCTATCCCTAACCCTAACCCTATCCCTAACCCTAACCCTACCCTAACCCTAACCCTAACCCTAACCCTATCCCTAACCCTATCCCTAACCCTAACCCTAACCCTATCCCTACCCTAACCCTAACCCTAACCCTAACCCTTGAAATTCTCGCTGGACCGTAATTACTGACATTGTTTTAGCAAATGTCATCACACAAAACGCCTTCTCTTTGCTTGATTCCGCCATTTTGAAAACAGCGACCCCTAGCGACGCCTAGCGGCATTAACGTACATGTGTGTTGCTCAAAAAAAACTTTGATAGTTTATCTGTCGCTACGTAGCTGTGGGTTGGTTACAGTAAACATACATTCGTCTAAAATTAATTTTCTTATTGGCCTATTCATTTTGACTAACCCTGTATAACATAATAATACAACTTAATATCATAATATTAAAACGAATACTATTACAATAGAAGATTCCTCTCGCTTCCTGTTGTTTCGCCCTGTTCTGAACTAAGAGTTGTTTGCAAGCCTGCCTGTCTCCATGTTTGTGTATTAGTCTATCCCAGGCCTGGGCAAACTTTGGCCTTCCCTCCAGGTGTTTGGGACTCCAACTCCCACAATGAAACCCAAAACACCTGGAGGGAGGGCCAAAGTTTGCCCAGGCCTGGGATAGACAATAATAATGATGATTCTGTATCTACATGCTGGAATAATGTGGTGCAAGTTGGATGTCTGTCACTAGGGGAGTGCCTACATTGACGATTATTCGGGAATGGAGACCTGCGAGGCTACAAAGCGTAGCGTTGAAATGACAAGCATCAGTTCACTGGCACAAAGGAATGATGGGGTTGGGTGTCTCTGATCTGGTATGGAGGAGCACAGAGAGAAAGCGTCCCAAGCACAGCGATGATGTCTGGAGAGAGAGAGAGAAATGGGGAGAGACGCCACATCTCCACCTGCAGCACATGGATGCGCGCATGGCGGCCGCGCGGAGAGCGGAGGTCAATCCCACTGCAGCCACAGAAG